GAGAGGCCGTGTCTGGGCTGGAGGAGGGGGAGGGTGGGCCCAGCCCCTGGCTCTGCCCCGGGAAGGAGGGGCAGCCCTGTTCTGCCCAAGCCCTGGCTTTGCTCTGGAGGTGCACCTGTTCTTTGCAGAAGTTGCTCACCAAGGTCTGCCGGGGTCTCCAGCGTCCTCCTCTTCCTCGGGGTCAGAGCAGGCGGCTGACGGGTGGACAAGGCCACAGCGCTGCCCGGGCACCCTCCGTTCCCGGGCGCCGGGTCTGCTGGCATCGTGGAGGGGGCACCGCGGGCTGGGCGAGGGCTTGAGCTTGAGTAACTTGCAGAGAGAGCAGAGCTGGGGTCCCTGCGTGGCCTCAGTGTCCCCGCCGTGGCGGTGGTCTCTGAGGGTCTGCTGCTCTGCGTTTACCCAGAATGTGAGTGGGCGGACGCCGGGCAGGGCTGCTGCTGGGCTGGGCCTTTGGGAGAGACGCCTGGGCCTGTCCTGGAAGTCCTGGCTGTGTGTGGTGGCCCTGCAGCCGGCCTGGCCCTCTGGCCGCCTGTTAGTCCCGTTTGCTCAGCGCTGGCTGCTGCGGCAGATTGGAACACAGGCTCTGAGAGGGGCTGTGACTTGCCTGGGGCCACACAGCAGCTGTGAGACTCCAAGTCCAGTGCTCCCGGCTGTCTCTGCCCTGAGTCTCCCTCCCAGCAGCTCCCGCTCTGCCCATCCTGAACCGTGGGCGGGGCCGTGGGCTAACGGCGGGCACCGCCACTGGCCCAAGCACCTGAGACAGATTGGAGACGGGGACCCTGTGTCAGGGCTGGGGCCTTGGGGACCATTAGGACTCAGAAACCCACCGGGGGCTCAGCAAAGCCTGGGGGGCGGGGCCAGCACGGGGTCTGCTCACCTGTCGCTGGCGTTTCAAGGGCACTGCCTGGCACCATCTCGACTTCCCTCCCGTGTCTGGGGGTGCAGACCTGGGCTGGGAGGCTCTGGGTCCCGGGAGGGAACCCCAGGACAGCTGCTGGCCCCCGCAGACCGTCCAGGCTACCTTCGTCCAACACTCCCCCCCCATTACTACACATGTCTGGAGCAGCTGTGGAGCTCAGAGGGGTGGGAGGGCACAGGGGGCCCAGGCCGAGGTGCTGGGAGTCATCACAGAGGCCTTGGGGGCCGTCAGTCTGCTGGGCAAGGCCCGCAGGTCCAGGCTGTCCTCACCAGGCACCAAGGACCAGCGTCTCCTAGATGTAAGCGCCCACACGCCCTTGCCGGGAGGGAGCACGCACCGCCGGGGACTGGCAGGGCAGCCCAACCCTGGCCGGGAGTGGTTTCGGGAGGGAGCCGGGGAAGCCAGGGACCGCTCTGCCCGCTGCCTCACGCCCAGCGCGGCGTGACCTGGGGCGGGTTACGAAGCCCTCTGGGCTGGCGTCCGTCCGGTCCGGTCCGAGAAATGGGGCAGCCGGCCCTCCCGGTGGGGCTGTAGTGAGAATTAAAGGCGGCAACACGCTGCGGCCTGCTGGGCATGCGGGAGCCACCATCCCTGGCAGCGGGGACTCTCGCCAGACCCAAGGCCGTTCCTGTTGCCTCTCCCCAAACTGCAACTCCCCCTGCAGTTTGCCTCCCCCGTCTCCATGGCGAGAGACGGGAGGGTTTGGCTCATTAGAACCGAATAAAGAAGGAGCGAGCGGGAGTGGCAGGCGGTGAGTAACCGATGAGTAACCGAGCCGGAGCCCGGGGTGGGCACGGCCAGGTGAGGGCAGAGACTGGCGGGAAGGACGGGAGGGTGGCTGTCACGGCCCGTCCTCAGAGCACGCAGACCCAGCTGTGGCACCTGCGGCCTGCCTGGGGGCTGCGGGGCAGCAGGATGGCCACCCCCAACCCGCTCACCTGGCAGGAGCAGGAGGGCCACGGGCTCCAGGGCCAGCTGGGCCTCCCCAGAGCCCCAGCCCTGGTCTGCCCGCGCCGGCCCCGCGCCCAGGTCTGCAGTCGGTCCCCACGCGGCATCCTCCGCCGGGGGCTGCTCAGCCCCTTCCCGGCTCCTCCTGCCCAGGGTCACCTGGCTGCAAAAGGGCCACGCTGGGGGCAAATGGCTTCCAAGGACCCCCGCCCCAGGCCCAAGCCTCGGCCTTTCTGGGCTTTGGATCCGCTGCCTGGGCTCAAACCCCGCCTCGGCCACCAGCACCTAGTTTCACACCCTCTGGGCCTCGGGCTCCTCACCTGTGAAATGGAGGCGCAGGCAAGAGCCACGTGAGTGTCGGCTGGGACGGGGACAGGCCAGCGTGGCTCTGCCCGTCTGCCTCCAAGTCCTTCCGGAGTCCTCGTGCCCGCGTTTCCGGGGTGAGCACCCTAACGTCCGAGCCCCACCGCATCTCGCCCCACGCCTGCCGCCTGCTTCCACCTGGCTGCCCCGACTGCTGCCCGCTTCTGTTACTGCCCTCGACCTCAGCAAACCCGTCCCCACCTCGGCACCTTCACCCCTGCTGGCCCGCCTCTGAGAGTGTCCACCCGTACGGCTGTCACACCCACCACACACACACGCAGGGAGTTCGTTTGTAGTCCTTGCTAAGACTCACTGTACTTACTTAGGATGTCACCTCCTCCAGGAAGCCTTCCCTGACTCCACTCCACAGAGGCAGGTCAGGCGATCCTTTGAGGTACCACGATGCCCCCCTTGTGTCCCTTCTCTCAGCTCTTCCTCCACTTCCTCTCCCTCCCTCTGTCCGTGTGGCCCCCATGAGGCTTTCTGGCCGGGGGCTTGTCCGCAGGCCCTGCTTGCCGGGCTCGGGCAATACAGAGAGTTCGATAACCCACTTCAGACCCTTCAGATCATTTTGACCTCCCTGAGATCCAGGGAGGTGGAGTCCCGTGTCCTCCCTGTCCCTGTCCCAGGCAGGGAATGGGCAGCAGGGCGGAGGTGGGGCTGGGGCTCGGGGGCAAAGCCCACTCGGGCAGGCGGGCGGGTGGTGGCTGAGCGTCCTAAGCTGGAAGGAGGGGGCTCTTTGCAGCTCGCACCTTGCTGGGGCGGAGGGGACGCTGGCCACCACCCTCCCCTCGGTTCTTCTCGGAGGAAGGACGTTCCCAAGAAGCGGTGCCCCCTTCTGTGACAGCAGACGGCCACCAGAGTCCACCCGGCCCTGGGCCCCTAAGAACGGCAGCCCCCACCCGGTCCTCAGCCCTGGAAGATATCCCAGGGGAAGAGGGGCCCCACTAGGTGAGCCCCCCAGCTGGCTGGGGTCAAGGAAGCGGCCCCCAGGGCACACAGCTGGCCCCTAGCATGAGGCCGGGCTTGCAGCTGGTGCTCACTGGTAGCTCCTGGCACAGACCTGCCTTGGCCGTGGAGCCCGTCTCAGTGGGCGGGCAGTCACCTCAGCCCTGATGACCGGACGTCCCACCACAGTGAGGGCGCGCTGGCGCTCGCGGGCGCTGGGCGCGGGACTCGTGCGGTGGCTGCAGGTGGTCTCCCGCTGTCCCCGTCCTGCGTGGCGCCAGGTGCCAGGACCCAGAGCCCACACGGCCCGGCCGTGGGCAAGCGGAGAGGGACCCCAGAGTGCAGGGCCGGGACGGAAGGACGCTCAGGCCCCGCCTGGGGCTGTGGGACATGAGGAAGAAGTTAGAAGTGGACGGGGAGCCTGTGGACTCGTGCGGAAGTCCCCACCTGTCGGGCTCACGGGGGAGAGCGTCTAGATCCGGGTTGTGCTGGGACTAGGGTCAGCAGCAAGGGCGCCCTCCTGGCTGGAAGTCTAGGGGGGCTGCCCGGAAGAGGAGGCGTTGGAACCAGGCCTTGGGAGGTACTTCGCATTCGGGCATGGAGGGAAGGGAATTTTTTTTTTTTTTGAGACAGAGTCTCACTCTGTTGCCCAGGCTAGAGTGAGTGCCGTGGCGTCAGCCTAGCTCACAGCAACCTCAAACTCCTGGGCTCAAGCAATCCTTCTGCCTCAGCCTCCCGAGTAGCTGGGACTTAGGAGCCACCATGCCCGGCTAATTTATATATATATATATGTATATTAGTTGCCCAATTAATTTCTTTCTATTTGTAGTAGAGACGGGGTCTCGCTCTTGTTCAGGCTGGTTTCGAACTCCTGACCTTGAGCAATCCGCCTGCCTCGGCCTCCCAGAGTGCTAGGATTACAGGCGTGAGCCACCGCGCCTGGCCAAGGGAAGGGAATTTCACCAGAGACCACGGACCCCCCCCCCCCCCCCCGGGGATGTGAGCAGCACCCGGAAGGATCGGGCCATTGTTCTGGGCGAAGGCCCGCGGGTGCTGACCTGGCGCCTTCCCTTCCCAGCCCGGCCTCGGGCTTGGCCCTGCCGGGGAGGGAGGGCGCTGTCCGGACTGCACTTGGAAGGACCCAGCTGGCGGCTGGGGGAGTGAGGGGCAGGGGGGCCGGTGCCCAGGTCTGGGCAGTTCGGGGGCCCGTGGGCCAGGTAGGGGAGATGGGAGGAGAGGGGAGACTCGGGGGCCAGGGCCTGGTGATGGGTTGAAGGGGGTGGTCAGAAAGGGAGGCAGCAACAGAGAGCCTGGGCGGGCTGCGCTGCGTGGTGTCTGCCTGGCTGGCAGGTGGGGACGGGGCGCCCCTGGGCTCCCCACGGCCCCAGCTTCCATCTTCCACGCACTCGCGGTCCCCACGGCGTCAGCACAAATGGCTCGTCCTTGAGGCCAGCGCCTGGGAGGCTGGCCCGGGGGGAGGCGAGAGGCACGGACCCCCCCTCCCTGCTCACCCCAGGGCTGGAGAACCTGGGCCCGTCCCTCTCCTGGGAACAGGGAGAGAAGCTGACAGTGGGAGGGGGGTGTTACAGGCTGGTGGGAGGGCCACAGCATGCATTGAGTGCCTGCTGTATACCGGACACTGCCCTCGCCACAGCCCCGCCAGGCGGGCACTTTCAGCCCCACTTGGGTGAGTCGGAAGCTCAGAGAGGGAAGCGAGGAGCCCAGGGCCACACAGCCGGTAGCCAGTAGCAGGAGGACCAGCGCCTGAGCCCGCCCGGGCCCGAGCTGCGGGGCCTCACCGCGCGCCCCGTCTCTCCCGCAGGGAGCCGTGAGGCTGCCTTCACCTACGCCATCACCGCGGCCGGCGTGGCCCACGCCGTCACGGCCGCCTGCAGCCAGGGCAACCTGAGCAACTGCGGCTGCGACCGCGAGAAGCAGGGCTACTACAACCAGGCGGAGGGCTGGAAGTGGGGCGGCTGCTCGGCCGACGTGCGCTATGGCATCGACTTCTCCCGGCGCTTCGTGGACGCCCGCGAGATCAAGAAGAACGCGCGGCGCCTCATGAACCTGCACAACAACGAGGCCGGCAGGAAGGTAGGGCGGGCGCAGGCGCGGGCGTGGCCGCGTGCCCCCCGAGGGTCTCCAACAACCCCTCTGAGCCTCAGGTGCCTCCTCCTCCCAGCAGAGGCAGTCGGTGACCTGAGCCCGCAGGTGTGCGGCGGGTGGCGCCCTGGGTCCTCCACGCGCGTCACTCGGAGCCGCCCGACAGCTCTGAGAGGCAGCCTCGCTGTTCCCATCCCCGAAGGGTGGAAACCGAGGCCCTGAGTGGTGCCGTGCTGAGCGCCCAGCCCCCAGCTGGTGGGCAGCAGGGCTGGACGGGGACCCTGTTTCCATCCTGGGCGTGAGCTGGGCTGGCTGGGGGCCTGAGGGTCGGGGGTGCCCAGCCACAGCCTTACGTCCCTGCCCTTGGTGCTCCCGGTCCCAGAGGCCATGCCGCCACGCCAGGAAAGACTCCCTGGAGGAGGCAGCCTTTGGCCCGATCCCCTTGGGAGGCCGGGGCCGGGATGCTCCCAGGACAGGAGCAGCCTGAGGGAGGGGACACTGTGAGTCGGGGGCTCTCGAAGAGCAGCCAGCTTCCCACGTGCATGGGCTGGCGTGCGGGGTGCTCGTGGAGGAAATTCAGGTAGGGACACACTGGGGAAGAAGCCAGGGCAAGCCTGGCCCCACCCACAGGGAGATGAGGGCCAGATACTGGCTGGGAGGAGCAGCCGCCATGGCGGCAAGATGGCCCGAGATAGAGCGGCCAGCCAAGTGGAACGCCAGCAGGCTCCCCTCCCCGGGCGCTGCTCCTAGGGAAGCAGGGCCTGAGAGGCTCCCTGGGCACGGGCAGACTTGCCTCCCGTGCAAAGAGGAGTTGAAGCGTTCCTCTGCCCCAGGCCACTGGTCACTCACTTCTTCATTCAGCAAACGCTCCCTGCTTTCTCTGGGCCAGGTGCTAGGCTGGGCACAGGGGCAGAGAGGAGCCAGACATGGCCCTGGCTATGGGAGCTGGGTCCACACAAAGGGTCCGCGGACCACGCCCAGGACAGCAACAGCCTGGGAGGGTGGGGAGGGAAGAGAAGCTTCCTGGAAGAGGTGCCATCAGAGTGGAGCCTTGAAGGACATGCCAGAGCTGAGAAGAGCAAAGGCAAGGGGAGTTGGCCCCAGGAGGGCTCAGATGGTTCAGGGTTCAGGGCTGAGGAAGCAAGCAGGGGCCAGCACAGAACAGGTCTTGAACACCACGCCAAGGGTTTGACGTTGCTTTGTAGATGTAGAGATTTTCATGCAGCAGGTGGTTATTATCATCAAATGAATGGATGGAGGGATGTTGGGTGGATGGATGGGTGGGTGGATGGATGATGGATGGATGGATGGATGGATGGATGGATGGATGGATGGATGGATGGATGAGTGGATGATAGTTGCATAGAAGGATAGATGAGTTGATGGCTAAATAAATTAGTGGATGGATGAATGGATTATGGATGGGTGGATGGATGGGTAGACTGGTGGGTGGATGGATGATGTTTGGGTAGATGGATGGATGATGGATGGATGGATGGATGATGGGTGGATGGATGGATGGGTGGATTGGTGGGCAGATGAATGATGTTTGGATAGATGGATGGATGGATGATGAATGAATGAATGGATAATGGGTGGATGGATGGATGGGTAGATTGGTAGGCAGATGAATGATGTTTGGATAGGTGGATGGATGGATGATGGATGGATGATGGGTGGATGGATGGATGGGTAGATTGGTGGGCAGATGGATGATGTTTGGATAGATGGATGGATGGATGATGTTTGTATGGATGGATGGATGAATTGGTGAGCAGATGGATGATGTTTGGATAGATGGATGGATGGGTGGATTGGTGGGCGGATGGATGATGAATGGATAGATGGATGGATGATGGATGAATGAATGGATGATGGGTGGATGGATGGATGGGTAGATTGGTGGGCAGATGGATGATGTTTGGATAGATGGATGGATGGATGATTTTGGATGGATGGATGGGTAGATTGGTGGGCAGATGGATGATGTTTGGATAGATGGATGGATGGATGGATGATGTTTGGATGGATGGATGGGTAGGTTGGTGGGCAGATGGATGATGTTTGGATAGATGGATGGATGGATGATGGATGAATGAATGGATGATGGGTGGATGGATGGATGGGTAGATCGGTGGGCAGATGGATGATGTTTGGATAGATGGATGGATGATGGATGAATGAATGGATGGATGGATGGATGGCAGGCAGAGGGCTCGGCAGGGACAGGGCAGCCACAGGAAAGGGCCTAAAGTGGTCAGCGGCTGGACTCTCAGATCACACTGTCCCCACTATCTGTGAGTCCCTGGGTGAGCCTGTCCCCATGCTGAGTCTCCGTCTCCTCATTGCATGCTGGCCGAGAGGCCCTTTGCCTCCCCCGCCCCTCCAGCAGCCCCCGGCCATGCAGCCGTGTGGCCTAGGTGTGGCCTGAGCCCGTGGAAAAGCTGGTGGCTTCACAGTGACCCTCGGTGGCAAGCTCCTTCTCCCAGCAGCAGAGTGCTCGTGGCGGCAGGGGTGGGTGTGGGTGGGGTTCTTTGGGGTTTCCAGAAGAACTGGGTCCAGACCTTCACGGCCCCCCAGTGCTGGGCGCCCTTGCCCCTCCCAGGGCTCAGGCCTGCCCCCCCGCCCCCCAACTGCCTCGGGAGCGCGTTGTCTAGCAGGCCCGGCGGAAAGCAAGCCGCAGCCGCCACGGCTGCACGCCACACACGTGTTCTCTGGCAGTCTGGGGCCAGGAGCCCCACAGCAGGGTGTCGGCCGGCCCGGTCCCTGCCAGGCCCCAGGGGAGGATCCCTCCTGCCTCTGCCAGCTTCCGGTGGCTGCCGGTGCTCCCCGGCTCGTGGCCGCGTCACTCCAGCCCTGGCCTGTCTTCACGTGGCCTCCTGCCTGGGGCCTGTCTGCCCTCCCGTCTCTCAGAAGGACACTGGCCATTGGATTAGCGCCACTCGGATAGCTCAGCGCTATCCCGTCCCCATCCTTTCGTTAATTACAAACACCCCAAGTGTTTCCAAGTGAGGCCCCTTCTGAGGTTCCCAGGGGACGTGAACTTGGAGAGGGGCTACTATTCAGCCCACCACACTGGCCGTTCACCCCAGGCCAGCACCTTGGCAGGCAGGACGGGGGTCAGAGGGGCTGAGCCCGGACTGCCTGCTCACGCCCAGCTTCCACCCCCAGCCTGGCTGCCCCGCAAGCTCTGCACGGCGGGGTGGGCTCCCGGGAGCCGCCACAGGGTGCCTGTGCGGGAGGAGCCTGGGTGTCCCCTGTGGTTGTGCAGGCGGGAGTGACCAGTGCTGGCCAGGGCGTGGCCCGCCGCTGCAGGGGCAGATGGAGGCCATGCCTGGGCCAGTGGCAGCCGGGTCTCTTCCCGCCCCAGCGAAGGCAAGAGATCCTCCACCTGGGAGGCCCGGGGCTGTTGTCGGGGACACCCTGGGCTCCTCTCTAGGTCCCGTGGGGGTGGGGGTCATCGCTATGGAGCACCCCGGCTCCGGGAGCTGGGGCAGGCGGCCCGTTAGCTGGACGTGTACCACGTCTCGGCGCGGCCCTTACCTGTCCGAGGCGCCACAAGACTCGGGCCAAGCCCAGAGCCGAGAAGTTGTCCCCCCGGCCTGGCAGGACCTCGGCCACACTCTCTCCGCCTCGGCCCAGCGGCTGGTGAAACAGCTTCACTTGCCGACCATGTTCAGTCCACGACCTGGGCCTGTGGCCAGAGGGTGAAGCCGACACGGGCCGTGTCCCCAAGGGGCTTGCATGTCAGGCCCACGCCACCAGGGTGGGGAAATGGGCGGGCCGGGAGCTGCCCCGGCGGAGGGTGTGCAGGGCCGCTGTCCACGCCCCGGGCCCAGAGCCGCTGGCCGCAGGCTCTGGCTGGGGTGGTGCGAGGGGAGCCTTCCACTGGCGCATCCGGACACCAGGCTGCCCCGGAAGGGCTTTGGCCCCCCACCCCAGTTCTCCCCCAGCCCCTGGGCTGTAACGGAGCACAGATCCCCCGAGCATGGGCCACGCCTCTATTCTGCAAAGAACACCAAACTGGCTCTTTCCCAGAGGGGCCCCCAGTCGGTCCCCCCCCAGCCCTGGCGGGCAGAGGAACCACGCCTGGGGGAGGGGCCCCTGCCCAGCCCCCTCAGCGCCCACTCCGCGCCCTGCCCTGTGGTCTTCTGGGGCGGGGGCCGGGTCTCGGCGCCCCAACGCTGCTGCTGGCGCCACCGTTGCTGCCGCGCTCATGGCCAGGGCTCGGGAGAAGGAAACGGCAGTCTTGAATCCTGCGATCACCTCCCAGGAGAGGCTCCGTCCCAGGGGACCCGGCCAGGCGAGGATGTGGCCCCCCACTCTGCAAACAGCTGCCCGATCGGCTTCATGGCTGCCGGTCACTGGCCAGGCCGCGCAGGGTCTGAAGGTCCCAGGCGGGCAGGAGGGTGCAGGCTGAGCCACCTGGCCTTGATGGGGCCGGGATGGCAGGGGCCGAGGGGTGGGGGAGGGCAGCAGAGCACCGGGGGGAGGGGGGAGGCAGCTGTGCAGCAGGCCACAGGGGGGCCACCAGTGGGGACACCAGAGGGCCACCTGGCGCACAAAACCTCTAGCCTGGACACCCAGCCAGGCCTCGGGCCATCAAGGCCCCTCTGGGGAGGATCAGCTCCTGGCACCTGCTGTCAGCCTCCCTCCCCTCCTCCTCCCCGGCCTCTCCAGTCCTCTCCACTCAGAGCAGAAAACACCCCCAACTCCAGGCCCAGCCGCAGGGCCCACCTGCGCCCACTTGATGTGTGTGCGGCCTGGTCTCTCGTTTGGGGCCCCGTGGTCTCCAGACCTTTGCCCATGTTGAACCCCTCCCGGAACACACTCCTCTTTGTTAACGAGCTCCTACTCATCCCTCAGTACCCAGTGTTGATGCAATCTTCTCCAGGAAGGCCCCAGCCCAGGCACCGTCACCCAGCAGGGTTAGGTTCTCGAGGGCTCCTGCAGCACCTGGTGGTGCACGTCGTCCTCCTCCTCCTCCCTCCCCCGACTGTGAGCCCCGAGGCCCTCCGAGATCCAGGGCCTCACGCGCTCGGCCAGGCGAAGGTGCTTGGGCAGTGGTCGTATCGGTGGGATGTGACTCCCTCCTCTTTGTCTTTCACTCGCTCATTCATTCACACGTTCATTCACCTGCTGGGGCTTCTGTGGGCCAGAGCTGGGCCGCCAGGGCGAGGCCGGCGGAGCCCCGACAGCTGACAAATGGCCCTTGTGCCGCCACAGAGCGGCAGCTAATGATTCCCCATCTTTAATCAGGCCCGGCTGGCAGGGCCCTTTCGATCCGGGTAAATGAGTACCTGGGGTCATGGCTGGCTCTGGGAACGGGCCTTCCGGGGCCTCGGAGGGAGGCCCAAGCAAAACACAGGGCTGCGCCCATCGAGGGCCCCGCGGAGCCGGGGAGAAAGAACAACATTGGCGGGTGGGCCAGGCCGCCGGCTTCCCAGCGCTGGCCGCCTGGCGACCCGCGCACTCTCCCACCGTCCCGGCCAGCTCCCTGTGCAGACGTGCGCTGAGCTCCATGGGCATGCCGGGCTCCCACAAACAGCCGCTGGTTAGGCACCAACTGCATGCATGCCAGCCCCATCCCAAGCACAAGGGCAGGGAGTGGCAAGAGGGAGGGACGCACACTTATTAAGCACCTCCTGTTGCCGGGCCCCTCGCTGCCCTATGCCCTGCAGCCCAGTCCCCTCCAGCGCACTGACAGTGGCAGAGCCGGCCTGGGAGGGCTGTGAGCCCACGGGAACGCGCTGGGCGAGAGTACACCGCGCTCTGCCAAGGTCCGAATATTCCCGCTGGACCTGCCCTGCGCGGTAGGGACCTGTTGTTAGCAGCCCCAGTTAGTGGACGAGGAGGCTGAGGCTCAGAGAGGGGGAGACACTCACCTGTGGTCACACGGCGCGCCGTGCCGGGGTGGGCTGTGGGGGCGGGGGCTTGCATGGCGCCCAGCTCGGTCCGCGCCATGTCGAGCGGCTGCCCTGTCACCTGCAGGTCCTGGAAGACCGGATGCAGCTGGAGTGCAAGTGCCACGGTGTGTCGGGCTCCTGCACCACCAAGACCTGCTGGACCACGCTGCCCAAGTTCCGCGAGGTGGGCCACCTGCTCAAGGAGAAGTACAACGCGGCCGTGCAGGTGGAGGTGGTGCGGGCCAGCCGCCTGCGGCAGCCCACCTTCCTGCGCATCAAGCAGCTGCGCAGCTACCAGAAGCCCATGGAGACGGACCTGGTGTACATCGAGAAGTCGCCCAACTACTGCGAGGAGGACGCGGCCACGGGCAGCGTGGGCACGCAGGGCCGCCTGTGCAACCGCACCTCGCCCGGCGCGGACGGCTGCGACACCATGTGCTGTGGCCGCGGCTACAACACCCACCAGTACACCAAGGTCTGGCAGTGCAACTGCAAGTTCCACTGGTGCTGCTTCGTCCGGTGCAACACCTGCAGCGAGCGCACCGAGGTCTTCACCTGCAAGTGAGGCGGCCACGGCTCGCGGCCACGGCGGGCGGCCACGGGCACCCTACCGGCGGCGGCGCTTTGCACGCCCGCCCCTCGCCTTCCTGCCAGCTCTGGGCGGGGTGGACGCAGAAGGTGGGCGCTCCCGGTGCAGCAGGGCGCCGGCCAGGGCCCACAGCCTCTCCTCGTGCCCCCGGGGGCTCCCTCCTGCCACCCGCTCCCGTCCCCTCCCCTGGCCCAACGGCGCCCGTGACCTATGCAGAGGACAGGGCCGAGGTCCTGGTGGGCCCTGAGCGCCCAGCAAGCTCCTTTCCTCTCTCCGGGAAAGTGAGGCCCCAGGACGCTCCCAGTCGCGGAAAGCGAAGCGGTGACGAGACGCCGCAGGTCCCCTGCCCCACCTGGTGGCGCGGACACGGCACGGCCATGCCGGCCGCTCGCTCGAGACTGCTTCCCCGGCCGCGTCCGAAGCGTGGCCCCAGGGCGGTGTGGACGGGTGTCGACGAGAATTATTTATGTGTCCGTAGTCCGCGAGGAGGACTCTCAGCGCGGGCGCGTCGCCGGCCCTGACTGCGCTCTGTGTCGCCCCCGCGCACCCTCCCTGCTTGCTCTCCCCGCACGCCCGAGGCTGCCCAGGCAGTGGGGACCACGCCCGCCTGCAGCCCCTGAAGTGAGCTGGGCGGGGGCCTCGGAAGAGAGCCACGGACGGGGTCCCACAGCGCCCACCCTGCTTTTGAAGATCATGTCGAGCAAAGCAAAATGTCGCCCATGTCGGGTTCCAGGAGGGCCTCGTCCCCTCCTCAGTCCTGTCACCCTCCTGGCCTGGCACCTCCAGTTTACAGAGCCCCCCGCTCCCGCCCTGGAGCCGGCCGGACCCCGGGAGAGTGCTGCGCTGCGCGGGGCGGGCGGGCGGGGAGTGGGCAGGGATGTTTGTCCTGTTGACAGATGGGGACACTGAGGCCCAGTATGGCACAAGGACTTGCCAGAGACCCCGGGGGTGCAGGTGGAGGCTCCCGCCTTGGCCTTGTGCCTTGAGTTACCCGACTGCTCCGTCTGGGGCCCGCACCCCACCTCGGTGCCTGTGAGGCCCCCCAGCCCTGTCCTGGCCCTTTCACCCTGAACCTCATGCTGAGCAAACCCGATCCAGGGCTGGACGTGTCCTTTCCAGACCCTCCCACCCCCCTCTCTGAGGAAACTGAGGCACAGAGGGAGGAACTTGCCCAAGGCCAGAGAGGATGGCTTGCGACTGGCTTCTGGGGCACCCCCCCCACTGCCCCGGCACCCCCAGGGTGTGCTCGACGGCACCCGTGGAGAGGGTTCCTGGGCCGCTGGCCAGCCACGTGCTTGGACGTCACCTGGGCAAGCGACCCCCGTCTGGGCCCTGGCCTTGGCAGCCAGCCCGAGGGCCCCCCGCCGCGCCGGACACTCTGAGCCTCTGGGCCACTGTGAATGCCCCACCCCCGCCCCGTCTCTTCACCCCCGCCCCGAGTCCCAGAACACCCCACGTCCACAGGCCCGGTGTCCTCTGCCAAGGAACCTGGTTAACTTATGTTGTTATATAGCGTTGAAATGTCTATAGTGTCTTTTAAATTATTGTGACCTACACTGGGTACCGGAGGTGGGGGGTGGCTGCGGCCACCACCCCCCGAGCCAGGCTCCTCCTGCTTGCGTGGACCCTCGGGGGCCCTGAGGCCACCGAGTCACTGGCACTGTCCCTTGGCCGCCAGGCACCCCGCCCTCCCCAGAGTCTGTCAGCAGCGGGCCCTTCCCTGGGCGGGAGGGTCGGGGGGCCTGGGGGGCCCTGCCACCCTTGCCATGTGCCGGCACAGTGGTGGCCAAGGTGCTGCATGTCCTTGGAGTGCCCACGTCTGACGGCTGTGTTGCCAGCCTCCCGGGAGGGGAGCGCTCGGCCCAATAAACGCTGGAACCAGAGGAGTGAGTGTGTGTGGAGTTGTCCGGCCCGCGATGCCCCTGCGGCTCTCACCCCGACAGTGGGGGCACACGGGCTGCCCCCAAGGACGAGCCCCCAGCCCCTGTGACTTCCCCGCCCCTCCCCATGGGCTGCGAGGGCTCTGCCCAAGGGGAGCCATCCCTCCCCCCCAGCCCCGAGACCCTGCCCACGTCTCAGCCTGGGGCTCCAGTCCGGCCCGTCTGCCTCCAGGCACCTTCCCGCCAGCCCCACCCCGAGACAGTCACTAGTGGGGGCTGGACATGGGCCCCCGGGCCTCCCTGGACAGCACCGGCTCAGGCTGCAGGGAGAGGAGGGCCGTGGGCCTGGTGCCCTAAGAGGGACTCTGGAGAGGGCCTGGCCTGGGTCCCCATGACCATGCCCCAGCGCCTCTTCTGACCCCAAGTGGGGTCTGGCCTCAGGCCCCTGTGGGGCTGTCCAGCCATATCTGGTGGATTTTGGCTCACGTGGCCCCAGGGGCCCTCCCCTTGCTCTCGCCAGGCCTGGGAAGGCAGCCCCTGGCTGGCCGCAGTCCTTGCTGTGTCTCCCAGAGGCCCGGCCTGGGGCCGCCTCTTAGCCTGCAGCCTGCGGTGGCCCTGCACACATGGGCGATGAATGGCATTCCTGCCGAGGGCCGGAAAGCATGTGGCGGGGCCGGTTTGGCCACTGCCCGCTGTCCCCGGCAACCTGGCACTGGGCGGAACCGCTGATCAAACAGCCCCCATCCTCACTGTGTCCAGCCGGGGCACCCACGGAACCTGGCCCCAGACCCAGGTCCCGGTGGAGAGGCCTCCCGGTGGGCTTTTCAAGGGGGACGCACCCCCCCAGGAGATGGGGAAGGGAGGAAAGGAAAGAGCACTGGACTCAGAGTCCAAGCCCTGTCCCTTCCTGACACATGGGCAGCCTCTGGGGGTGACCCCCTGGCGTACAGCCTCAGTCTCCCCATCTGAGAGCAGGAGGTGGCCCGGGGCCAGGACTTAGCGGTTGGTGGGGTGCTTGGGGCTGGCGTGCACGGGGCCGGGCCAGGCCGGGCAGTTTGGCAGGAGGCCCCGGTTCCCCGTGAGACGGTAAGCAAATCCGCGGTGGCGGCGGCAGTGGAATGCCGGGGTCCAGCTACTCCCACGGGGCCAGGAATGAGGAAGCGCTCCGAGACGGCCACAGCCCCGGTGCCCAGACTGTACTTACTTCTTGGCCGAGATTCAACCCGGCCCGGCCCCCCCGGGCCGCCCTGCACATCCTCCAAGGGCCCACACCGCTCGGCCTGGCCCGGGGGCCCACCTGGCCCTGGCCCCAGGCTCCACCTCTAAGGCTAATATTTGGGGAGCATTTCCTCCACGCCAGCCCCTCGGACCCCACTCGGTGGCTGTCAGCCCTCAGGTGATGCCCCTGCGCTCAGCTCTGGCCAGCCCTGGCTGCGCCGGAGGCCTTTGATTCGCCGGTGGTTCCCGCACCAGCCTCACCTGCCTGAGGTGCCCCGAGGGAGCGTGGGACCCGCAGACCCAGGAGAGCCGCGCAGCTTTGCTGGGTGGGATTTGAGGACCTGCGGCTGGGGGAGCCCGGAGTCCCGGGGGCCCGTCCCGCCCGCTCGCCCTTGCGGCCCCACAGCTGCCCGCCGGTGCGCAGCCCGCGCTGGGGGCCGCAGCTGCTGACCGAGGCAGCCGGGGAGAGAGGAAGCGGCTTTGAACTAGTTCCTCCCCACCGCCGAGCCTCGGTTTCCCCTTGCTAGAATGGGCGCAAAGGCTCTGGCCGCCCTTCTGTGTTTGGAGGACGCCCCCACCCACTCGTGCTCACACGAGCGTCTGCGCCTGGGGTCCCCACACCAGCCCTGCTCCCCGGGTGCGGCCGGCCCTGCCCACTCCACTGCGGTCTGGCGGCCAGAGCGTGTGGCCGTCCTGTGGCCCTGGTGGGCAGAGGCTGTCTCGTGGGTGTGGCCACCGGGGTCCTCCCTGACCCACCGCCCACCGCCCACCTCCACCTGTGCCGCTTGCTCTAGCTGTGCCGCCCCCGGGCGCATGCCTGCACCCTCGCCCTCCCACCCACGCCTGCCTTCTCCAGCCAGCTCCCTGGGAGGGCCTCGCTGGCTGCCTCAGCCTCCGGGCGGGTCCTGCTCCAGCCACTGCCCCCCCAGCAGGCTGAGGTGCTCCCGGGAACACTGACCACGCCCCGTGCCCGACCTTGGGCCTGGTCCTCAGGCATCCAAAACCTCAACCCTTCCCAAAGTGGGTCAGTGCTAGTTCCACTTTACAGATGGGGAAACTGAGGCACGGAGAAGCAAGGGACCTGTCCAAGACCACATAGCCAGGGAGAGGCAAAATTAGGTTTGAACTCAGGCCCTCTAGGGTCTTCCTTCTACTTGACTTGTGCCTTCTCCCACGAGAGGAAACTGAGGCCCTGGGACCTTGTCCACAGCTGTATAGAGATGAGTGGGGAGGGAACAACTAAGGCCAGTCCCAGAGAGGAGGTGACAGGCAATGCTATATCTTTACCAAGGACAGAGCAAGAAAGACTGGGCTAACAACAGCAGGCAGGACCTGTGTTAGACATGTGGGTGAACCTCATCGCTCCCAGAGCTGGGAGGTGGGAGGGGGGTAGAGGGAGGGCCGTGGGCTGCCTTCTCCCTGGTGGAGGGAGGAAGAGGACAGACTCGTCTGCTGGGCTGGCCTGGGGCAGGTGGGGAGGGGGCAAGAGAGGCTGGTGGCAGTTGAGTCACCGTGTGCCCAGACAGGTACGTGTGGGCTCCCCTGAGCAGGGCAGCCCCTGGGAGGCACGGGCCTGGGCACGGGGTGCTGGGGGCTCCTTGCTGCCGCCGGGGCCACGCAGTTCCGTGGATCCCGCGCTGGCCCACTGCCTTCCTCTTGGTCTGAGCTTGCGTCCACTTCCTGCTCTGGGGTCCCACCTGCCTCTCCATCAGGGCTATGGACTTGAAGGACCTGGGGACACAGATCCGCTGGCCCGGTTGCCCCAGGACCCTTGGCAATCAGGACCTGTGAGTCCTGGAGATCCTGGAAGTTGCAGGTTCGACACCCACGGCAGTGCCCTGTGGAGGCCCCAGGTGGGCGGACAGACGGGTGGGAGGCGGCTGCCCGCATACACTGGAGGGGCAGGACCCAGAGCCCTGCAGCCTGCCCCGGCCGGTGCTGCTCCCGGCCCCAGGGCTGACAGCGCCGCAGCCAGGGCTGGCAGACCCAGCTCTTTTCCGAGATTGCTCCGCTGGCCCCAGCTCGGCGGGTCACATGGAGGGTGTGCCGGGGGGAGGCAGGCCAGGCCGCCTGGCTCGTCCTTGTGGTCTGGGCCATACACCTCTCTGTACACAGCCGGAGTCCTGCAGCTGCAGAGGGGAGGCCCTCGCGGCCTTGCAAGAAAGCGGCAGGTGGAGGAAACCCGGCTGAGGTTAGGAGTCCTTTCCCACCTGCAGGCAGAAGGCCAGGGGCCTCCGGGTGCCAGACATAGGCGTCCCACCTGGGGCCTCGCTGGATCCACCTGCCCCAGGCCTAAGGGTGGCCTCCAGGATTCTAAGGCTCCCGCAGGAGCCCGGGGAGGGGCTTGGCTGGCCATACTGGGCAGACCCCTGGGGACGCCTCTCTGGCACCTGCAGCCCTGGACGCCCCTGCCGGGCTGTGTAAGCCCGGCCCTGATCCTGCTCCCGGGGCCGGCCTCATCCGGGGCCACACTGCTGGCTCGGCCTGTGCACCTGCCCCTACCACCATGTCCCAGAGCGGGCGGGGGCCCTGCCCAAGGTCCCTGCGAGTGGTTCTGGCTGCAACCCTCACTCCAGCTCCCGCCAAGCCCGGGACACGGCGCCACCCACCCACTCACACATCCGTTCCTTCCCTCGCCCGCCACTGCTGACCCTAAGCGCCCTGAGCTTGGCTGGCATTGTGGGGTCAGCGCTGGGTTGGGGACAGGGTCCTCCCTCAGGTAGCCCCCGGCCAGGACGGGGCACAGAATGATGAGTCAGCAGGTCCCTTCCAGCCCCTGTGGCCAAGGCTGTGCTGGAGGGAAGTCAGGGCTGGGCTGGCAATGGCTTCCTGGGAGCAGGAGGGAGAGGAGGGAAGGAGGCAAAGCCCGGGGTGAACCAAGGGGAAAGCGGAGCATGGAGTTAGGGGTGCTGGGGCAGGGGAGGGTGGGGCTTGGAGAGCTGCCCCAAGCTGACAAGTTTCCCAGAAGGTTCTGGAAGGACAGAGGGGACTCTTGCTCCAGTAGCCCCACAGTTCCTAGTACATGGCAGGAGCTCTCCCTGTGCCCCCCATGGGTCCTGACACAGACAGGGTGACTAACACTCGCTTCCCCTCCTGGGCTCCCAGGGAAGCGGGATCGATCAAACCGATTAAGTCTCAACCACAAACACCCTGGGAGGGGGAGGGCAGCAGGCGACAGATCTGAGTCACCGGGACTGTCTCGGGGAGCTGGGAGTGCTCTCTGCAGGGAGGGGCGCTCCCCTACCTCAAAGGGCCCCCCGCTGTGATGGACCCGGCCTGCTGCCATCTGGGCCTGCCAGCGCATCTCATCTCCTCGGGGACCTCGGGGGCAGCCCCGTGAGGCCCAGCCTCGGGTCACATCAGAAAGGCCTTCTTCAGGCCGGCCAAGCTACCGGGAGGAGGGAGCTCCCTGTCCCTAGAGGAATTCAAGCACGGTTTGATCTCTGTGTGGTGGAGGGGGAGCCGTGCAGCCCCCCGGGATCCTGATGTCACGATTCTGCGATGCTGAGTGGCTGGGCTGTTACACAGAGGAACCAGGAGTCGTGGTTGTGTGGCTGGAAGGGGTCGCAGCTCCCGGCCGGGGCCCGGGGAGGCAGTGGCGGCAGCTTCTGGGGAGGCCTCTCCTCCTGTGCCCGACACCGGGAGTTCCCTGTGCAGGCGAGAAGTCCTCGTCCGCCCCACTCATTCGCGCCACGAAGACTGCGCGGAGGTCCTGCCCACGAGGAGCTGATGGAACGCGGCAGTGTCAGAGTAGTCATCGTGGAAGGAGGCGGCCAGCGCTAAGG